ATATTATTATTATCATTATTATTACTATACCTGACTTTTTTGGCTGTACTAAGACCATAAGATCAAAAACTAAATGTTATATCTTCTCTATCATAATTGCAAGTTCATTTTTAGCTGTTACCATGATGTTCAAAGACTTGCATTCGAAAAAGCTTGACATTTTGTGAAACTCAATTTTTTTTACGTTAAATTTCTCAAAAATGGATACTGAGCAGATAATCTACTCGTAGAACTTTGTGATTCTAAGATAGCGATTTATTAACAACGGTGGGTTCAGCTGCTAGATCGACACTCGTATCCTATTGTGGCTTGTAAAGAAAGGATTGTGAATGTCTTTGATATAATGATAACAGGGATTGCCTCGACGTCCAGTAACTGATACAGCCTTAAGTAATAAACACGCGCATACAAACAAACTCAGCTGCTCAGTTTGATGCGAGCATCTGGTCAATAACGTGGTCTGTTGTTTACGGAGTCTATGTACCTCGGGTGAACTGTATGACTAATACTGTGATCTCGAGTACTATTCATTAGAGATAAGGCGCTTGCCTCTTATTTAAAGTTCTCCACATCTCACTCATGGTTATAGTAACTTTTCGATCTTTCAATTGAAATCTTTGGTGTTAGTTACTTTTCACACACCTTATTCCAAGGTAATTGAGGATGGATTCCCAGACAAATCAGATGAGAGGGAAATATCAAGAGTACTTTTGAAAAAAGGCTGATGGTTTCCTGAACGGCGAGGGGGGAACACTTTTACATTACAGTATAAATATATCAAAGGCAAACATAAGTATTATGTAGTTGAAAAGTATGACGCCTTGTTTTAGAGTACTTAAAAAAAGAGGCAAGACCTCGTTATTCATACACATTTTGCTATTCTGTTTTATTTGTCTGAAATTTTAATGAGACAGGCAAAAACATGAATAAAATATAATATTCAAATTCGAGTTTCTGATTTTTGTATGATAGTTCGAAATGTACCGCACATTGCTTTTGGTCTCTTATGGTCGAATATATTATGTGTCGGCTTCGTCATTAGAGAGTTAAAGATCCTGCAATCAAACACACTCTACTTGTACATCTTGGATCTAAATGGGAAAGGACAAAAGAAGAAGAAAAAGAAGAGCTCATTGACGGTATCGTGCATCACATTAAAAGCTTACGTTTAAGTAAGGAACACATGCGCGCGCGCGCGCACACACACACACACACACACACACACACACACACACACACACACACATACACACACACACACACACA